GAATGTGCGGGCCGGTTTTGACGGTCAAGGCCGCTATTAATTGGCAATTATCTGCCAGTCACGCGCACACGCACTACCACGTATATGTATTATTTTAGTAAGTTTATGTTCTGTAATTGTGTTATTATTATTTTTATGTCTTATCTTTTTGTGTAATTATGTATTTTTATTAAAACGAGTTTTATTCGCATACGTTATGACAAATCAATTTAATTATGAAACAAGAAAACATTACCTGTTCTGTGGATATATTTTCCAATTGAATATCGATATTGGGATTTCGATACATCATTATCTTATTAAAAGTCCATGATATCGACAAAGCAATTATAAGAACAATAAACATCATTGCATTCAGGTAGATTAACACAATAATAATATTTATCACCGCATCAGTTGATTGAGACACTTCTAAAAAAGAAATACAATTTAACTATTGTATGTTTTAATAACAACATCAATTTACATTCATATTATTTGTAGCATAGTGCGAGTTACTACGTAATATGGCATGAACATATGTTCAAAAGAAAATCAGTCCCAGATAAACACACAAGAAATGTGCATACGACTGTCAATAGTGGCGATATTTTTTTCCTAGTGTCTATACCTAGTATATATTATTATGTAATAATCAAAATGTATAATATTAAAATAATTTTATAAATTCTGAGTGTATAATATAATTTATTGGTTTTACAAAAATTTGTATTTATTTGTTTGTTTATTATTATGTCAACACTTTTTCTACTTTTTCTTTGTTCTGATAGGAAATCTGACTGATAATAACTTTAGGGAGGTAACTTTTCGATGTTCTCGTGAATTTCATCAACGAATATGAAAACTCGAAAAAAACTGAGGAAAAACGAGATAATGTAAGAAATGTAGGTATTAGTTAAATATAAAAGTCTTCTTTTTTTCTGTGGGAAATTTTTCTATTAGGAAATCTGACTAGGAAGTACTTTAGGGAGGCCATTTTTTGATTTTCCAAGTCATCAAATGTGAAAAAACCTAATGAAAACGGAGAGAAAACCGGAAAGAACATAGGGAATTCGGCACGGTTAGGTAAAAAAGTTGTTCATAAAAAAAAATTAACATCTTTAATACCATAAGCATCTTTTCTCCACTCAGAATCTAAATGTTGATAAGTATTCAAGCTTAACAAAACCTAGATAACAAATTAAGTGCCACCTCTTCATACATTTTTTCTGGCTACAGTTTATTATAATATAATTTTCTCACCGTTTATTTGATTTACCGAACTGTACTTTATGATAGAGTCGTGTATATAATCTATAAACAAAAAAAATTTAATTATTTTTTATCATATGTAATTTATTTTAAAAATAAAATCTAAATTTAATAAATTACCAATAAGCGTTTTACAAATAATCGATAGGTACTTAACTATATTTTCCGGGTAACAAATTAAATGTAGAATATTATTTAGATTGTTGTTGCAATATAATCTTAACATAATTTTATATCTACATGATAAATATTTCCCTATTCGATTGATATTTTATAGGTACTTTTTAAATAATTATATTTTATTGTATTTATTATTTAAAATTTGATTAAGTAAGTTTGATTAATTTTATTTTATTTTAAAAACGTATCATAACTTTATGGTAATACATACACATTCTGGTTTTGATAATTTTTCATTTTTAAAAATAGGAAAATTTTATATTTCTCTTAAAAATCACTTATTGGAATTTGCATTTAATACCTAAAAATTATAAAATTATATTATTATATATGATGATTTTGTTATCAAAAAATTGGTAGTTTATCATTTAACAACTTAATTGCTGTGTCCGTTCACTTCAGGCAAAGAGAATGGAGATGGCTAATGTCAATTGGAAATAATGTATTACTTACATACAGATAAATTGTTGAGCCCAATTAGGTAAAAGGCGTAATCAACAGTTTTTGGTGTCAACATTTTTCTAAAATTCTGATGCATCGATCTATAAAATGGACCAACCAATAATATAAACCTAAGCATATCATTTTTTCATTTAAATATTTGACGGAAGTGACGATTAGATTATAACGTTGTAATTGATCGCAAGTTACATTAATTTAAAAACAAAAAAATACGTAAGTGACTGTTGTATGGACTAAACGACAAAATAATGATTATTGTTTAAAAGACAGAGTATATTCTACGTTTGACGTGAAACTACAGTTAACTCTCGATAATTCTAACATTTGACAGTTCGAAACCTTTGGTAATTCAAAGTAAATGCTCAGTTCCTTAAAAATTACGGAATAATTCGAATAAAAATAATTTACCTACTTTAAGTTTCTATGTAGTAGGTATGCATTAGTATTTCGTAAGTGTTATATTCGGAGCTTAAAGAAGGATTTATACCATTTGATCTATATGGTTTGACTATGATATGTGTCGTGTGTGCAATACAACTGAAGACATATCCTAGTAATTTTGAAGACGTGTTCATCGTCTACATAATATTATATACCTAATATAATAATTGATTCTCCCAAGAACCCAAAAACCTAAATGCATAAATGTAAATAATTCGTGACCACCAGTTTTTAATGGTACCACCGATGTGTTCAGTGTTTAGTCTAATAATTCGTGACCACCAGTTTTTAATGGTACCACCGATGTGTTCAGTGTTTAGTCTAGTATGTGTTCAGTNTCTAAAAAAGCTTCTTATTTTACCGTTGTTTTATAACTTTTGTTTTAAAAATATGTTACGCTCAGCAATTAGGCCACATGTCAGTTCTTTCAATTTTTTGTTTCTCGCAGAGGAATTAAGCGGATAATCAGATTCGTACTTGCCATGCATTGGATTGAAATGTCTCCCTAAATTTCCTTTCTTTGGCATTGCAACAGAAGTGTTGTAAATTAAATAACAACGTTTTTCATTCAACATCGTAAAAAAATAGTCTATTTCCTACTTTTTATTAAAGTGATATTTTTTTGATATTTTACTGATTTTGACACGATTGTATTAGAAAATAAATTTTTATGTGAAATTGATACATACAATTCACGAACACACACATATGATACACGAGTTTCGAATGCGATACTACGAGCAACTGGTCGTAGAATTGAACAGTTAACTAAAATGTGTTATTACTTAAAACGCAATACTATGAAAAATAGTATCTAATAGTCTTAGAATAAGATAAAATTAATTTATACTAGGGATATATGTATATGTTTATTATATTTATTGTTACTGTCATTGCGGACTGGTTCGATTTATCAATTTATACGAACGCGATAAAGGCCGTTAATAGGAATTGATAAGATATCCATCAGATTACGTGGCACGTACAATGTACCTAACGATAGTTACTCGATATCAGTGTATAAATTAATTTTTCATAGTTATTTATTGCCTTTTTCTAAATCTAATTTTTATATTTGCGGGATACACAACAATATTTTATTTGTTTTTTGAAAAAAATTCAGAAATTCAAGCAAATATGAAATGTTTTTGCGATGGACTTCAATTCATCCACCAATCAATCGTGATCGATACATTTTTCCACCCTTGCTATAGGTAATAGAAACTATAAATTTGTCCTCATGGTGCATTAGTAGTACTGGGGAACCAGCTGATTAAAATAGTTCACTGGTTATCTTAAAGCACTATAGGCTTGGATGACCATACGCCCCGTTTAAAACGAGATTGTCCCTTTTTTGATCATCATGGTGGTAAAATAACTACTTAATTTGGAAAACGCCAACCTATATTAAAAAGTCCATAAATAAATTGAGTATTACTTAAAATAAATTTTAGTGTTGACATTTATGATTTCTATCAAGCCGTTGACGAGGTATTCCTCTTCTAATTTTAGGTTGGAGGAGACTAGTGGTGCATTATTATTATTATTATTAACACCTCGTGCTCCATATCGCTATACTTATGGTACTTCACCATTCTCCTTCAACCCAAACTTTAAAGTGGAATATCTCGTCAACGGATCGACGGATCAATTTATGGACTTTTTAATACAGGTTGCCATTTGGAAATTAAAAGTAAGTAGTTGTTTTACTCCCAAAAATAAGGATGTCAACAAATAACACAAATATAAAATTACGGAGCAGCTTTTTCTTAAATATTCTAAAAAAAAAAATACCGTAAATATTAATAATTTTTGAGATAATAAGTGTACCCATTTAAATGAATTACTTGGTACACGTAAGCCATTGATGTTTCGTACATTAAAAGTACTGTGAAGATAATTTACGTGAATATTATACAATTTCGATAATATAAATCTTAATAGTGAGTTCAATATTATAATAAGTGTATTTAAGGCAGACTCAGATGCATTTCCTTTCCCAAATAACAATACCATAGTTAATAACAGACTATACAAGATATGTACATACATATACTTTGATTTTTTAATATTAAGTTACATTAGATTATTTTTGAACCAGTTATTAGTTTTCTCTAAGATGAGTATAGCTAATTTATTGAATTCGTCGAGGTATCACTAACCAAAATTAATGAAAATGTATCATCTACAAAACTAATCATTTTAGCGTTTAAATTTAAATCAAATAAATCATTGGTGTACCATTGGTAGATTAAAAAATTAGAGGTCCTTACAATGTACCTTGAGGGATTTCATAGTTATTAGTTAAATGATTAAACGTTACTCAAAACATTATCTACTAACCGCTTGATGTCTTTCCGCGGAAACCAACATATTCCAGTTTGTTGATTAAAATTATAAGATTTACTGAATCGAACGCTTTTCTTAAATCAAGAAAAATGTCCATAATTTTTTTTATTACTATGAATATTTTCCCTGTAATGTATATATCTATTTAAACCTGAGCGTTAATTGTTCATTTTCTTAATTAAAAACTAAATGGATATTTTGAAAAAAAAAATGTTTTTTATAAAAAAGTCATATAAAAATTTCTCAAAAATTCTATTAAAAGATAGTGAGAGTGAAATGTTGTCCTATATAGTTACCACAAACTTTCTTATCACCTGCTTTAAATAAAGGAAAAACAATATACTTTTTAAAACAATCAGGTAAAACCCTACATTCCAAACATACTTTATTAAATATTAAAGTGAGTGGGGAAACTATATGTTTAAATCAGTGTTTCCCAACCGGTGGTTGGCGGTCCCATAGATTTTTTCTCCAATTTCTACTAGAAATTATTATTATTATTATTTTTTAAATAGTGAAAAAATTACGACTTATTGGGGACTGTATAATATTTTAATCATTGTTGCTGCCAACGATCGATAAGTAATTTCCACTTTTTTAAGAGTGTAGGTATCAGAGTAATAAAGAGACATTAATTCAGTATGCACTCGTTATTCGTATGATTACCAAGCAGTACATTTTTAAAGAAATTAAAAATTTATAGTTCGATTTTGTTAAGTGATTTTTTTTCGGAGCCTAGTCAGACATAGTCAGGAATATGCCAACAGTCTAAAGCGTTACCAAAACCTTATACAAACGTCTACACTCCAATACCTACAACTATCGAAACCCTCTGATCACTGAATTATTCATCCGCACTATCCATTAAGACCCCAGAAGGCATCTAAAGCGAACGTGGTATCACAACATTTGGACAAGCACTTCCACAACCACATACCATGATATACCAATAATAGTTTGCTTCTTTTTTTAAGCCAACTCTTACTATTTTATATTAATATTCAAATATCCATTATGCTTATTGTATAAATTGTCATTTTACAGATTGAATAATTTCAATTCATAATATTATTAAAACAATTTTTTGAAATTTAGAAAAAATATTTTAAATTAGGTACTGAAGGCTAAAAATCCGCAACTATTTTATACATATTTTAAAGGTATCTACATTATATACAGTGTGAAAGGTTTGCTAAAATGTATGAATTGAAAGTCATTACGTCTTACTGAGAGACTTTCTCTGAATCTAAAACGTTAATGTACTTAAATTAGGGTGACCATACGTCCCGTTTAAAACGGGATTGTCCCTTTTTGATCATCATGTCCCGTTGTCCCGAAAAACTTCGAACGGGACGCTATTTATTCCGTTTTTAGAAGATTGTCCCGTTTTAATCCCGTTATTTCCATATAATTAAATTATAATTTATGAGTTTTTGTAAAAGAATAAAATAAATTTATGAACCAAATATAAAACAGATTATATTTAAAACTTGAAACCAAAGTTATAAATAACAGACTAAAATTTCCGTGGAGCGAACGACGAGTGCCGATGCCGACAAGCAATACAAATCGCAATAATAAAATAAGATAAGCATGATACACGTCGTATTGCATATGCATTACGAACTAAAATATATAATACTATTTATAATCGATGATATATTTAGATATTATTATATTGATTTGTTTAATCAAAAAATCGAACAACAAAATATGTCGAATAGTAACGTAAGAACAATAAGCGATTGTGTTTATTATAGCCACTACGTATCGTCATTTTTCTTTAAATTTTTGTTTCACTCGCGTTATGGCACTCGTAATGTGTGCATCTAATTTATTCAATAATTACTATTTTATTAAAAATCAAACTAAATACTTAACCGTTTTTGTTGTGAAAAGTGCTAAAAAAACAAGAAATTCAAGTGCTTTTTTTAACAAAACAAATCGCTGCCCATCTGGGGCCCAAAACCCCAAGACAAGACTTTCTGTGAGTATTTTAATTATTCAAACCCATATAACGTATAACAAACCGTCTTCCCAGCCGCTTATCTTCACTTACGTTACAACACCTAATTAAAAATGAACTCTAAATCTAAGCCTATCTCCCCAATTAAAATTATTAACCAAAACACCGTACAAAAGATAAAGAATAAAAGCCAATTAAGCGAGTTTGATATGAACGATGTTTTCAATTATGAATGGACTGAGGTCGTCTCTCCCAAATCTCACAAAATTTAAATTCTAATAAACAAAGTCAGTTATCAAAAACAATTAAAACCGCGACTAACACGCAAATTTCCTCTCATAATAAATTCAGTGTCCTATCACAAAATGAAGACACGGATATGGAAACTAATGAAGCAAACGAAATCGTCTCTAAATTACCTCCACCAATATTTATTAAAACAAGAGTTCAAAATTATCGACAATTTTGCGAGAAAATAAAAGATATTATAGAACTGACAGACGATTTTACCTGCAAAAGCTCTACTGAATCAATTAAAATAAACACTACCTCTTCAAATGCATACAGATCCTCAATTAAATATCTAAAAGATGCAAAAGCTGAATTTTTTACATATCAACTAAAAGAAAACAAACCATACCGTATCGTCATTAGAAATTTACATCCTAACACTTCACCTGACTACATAAAAGAAGAACTCGAAAAAGAAGGATTTCAAGCGAGAAACGTCACAAATGCTCTGCATAGAGTCTCAAAAATAAAACTATCCCTATTTTTTGTAGACCTAGAACCAGCGCTTCACAATAAAAACATATTCGAGCTCAAAACTATTTGCTACACCAAAGTCAAAATCGAAGCACCTCGTATCAATAAACTAACACCACAATGCTTGACTTGCCAAAATTACGGTCACACCAGAACTTACTGCAACAACCATCCGAGATGTATCCGTTGTGGTGAAAACCACAGAACTGACATATGCACCAAAAGTCGAGACCTCTGCAAAATGTGCGTTATGTAACGGAAATCACCCAGCAAATTATCGCGGATGTCTTGTATTCAAAAACCTGCAGCAACTTCGAAAAAAACAATCACCAAGCAAAAGCAACACTGAAAAAACCGAAGAAAACCAAATCGCAAAAACCCCACCTTGTACAACCCATCTCTTAACAGTACCTCACACCCAAATAATTCAAATAACAGCCAAACCTACTCTCAGGCCACCCTACAAAATAAAAATCCGATACACACAAATAACGAACACCAAAACCAACAAAACGTAAACATGACTACCCAATTGACCTCCTTTCTAAACGAATTCAAATCCCTCATTGACCCACTTATCTCACTTCTAACAACAGTCATCGACAAATTAATGAAAAATGTTAACTTATAATAATAAAACTCCTCCTTTATCAATATTACTCTGGAACGCAAATGGATTAACTCAGAATAAAAATGAACTTCAACACTTACTCTACGACAAAAAATAAATATCGCCCTAATTTCAGAAACACACCTAACACCAACGAAACATTTCAACATACCAGGCTATACAACACATCAAACAGATCACTCCGATGGTAGTGCACACGCTGGTACCGCGATCTTAATATCCACTACGATATTACACTACGCATTACCGACATATCAAAAGACCTATATACAAGCTACAAATATCCAAATAGTACTTAACCATATCCCCATTACAATATCATCAGTCTACTGCCCTCCTAGTTAAAAATTAACACCACCTCGACTCCAAATATTCCTAAGAACACTTAAAAATTCATTCATTATTGGCGGTGACTTTAATGCAAAGCATACCGTATTTGGATGTAGATCAACTAACCCTAGAGGCCAAACTTTTTACAATACAATCTTAAATAATCACCTATCCTTCATTTCACCTAGTGCCCCAACCTACTGGCCATCCCACACAAATCGTCACCCAGACATACTAGATTTTTTCATAACCTCGCTACCATACCACTTAAATAATAATATAAAAAACCTTGAAGAACTGTCCAGTGACCACTCCCCAGTTCTACTCCACCTAGGTGGTAAACCAGAAAACGTTGACAACATTCTACACTCTAGACAAATTAATTTCAATTTATTCTAAAAGAAATTGGACGAATACATTTCATTAAATCCGACTAAAAACTCGCGATGACATAGACAGCGCTTCACAATTCCTCATTACAACTATCCAAGAAGCAAAAACAAACTCAACCACTTCACCATCAAATACCAATATACCAACAAAACCACACCAATATACTTATTTACCACAGAATTTAAAAGATTTAATTAAAAAAAAAACGCCAAGCTAGAAAAATTTGGCTCCAAACCCACTACCCGGAGCACAAACATGAATTAAACAAATTAACAAATAAACTGAAAAAAGATCTGCAAACCTTTAAAGCCAATCAATTCCACTTATTTTTATCATCACTCACACCAGTAAATGGTTTCTTATGGAAATCAATAAAAAATAAAACCAAAAGAAAAAACGTAGTCCCCCCTTAACAAATCCTAACAACACTCTAGCCATAACCGACAGTGAAAAAGCAAATTATTTATTCGGCAATCACCTATTAGAAATTTTCCAACCCCACTCGGATACAAATTACAATATAACAACACATATAGAAAATGTCCAAACTTTTCTTAACAGTTCTCTACCTATGTCACTACCAGCTAAACCAATCACACCACAAGAAATAAAATATTATATTACTAAACTACACAACAACAAATTCCCAGGATATGATCAAATTAACAACAAAATACTCAAACAACTAACAAATAAAACCATCCTTCTTTTGACTCACATATACAACACAATGCTCAGGTTATCATACATTCCCCCAATATGGAAATTCTCAACAATAATATTAATTGCTAAGCCAGAAAAACCAAAGCATTTGGTAACCTCATACCGCCCGATAAGTTTACTACCGACGTTAGGGAAACTTTTCGAAAAATTACTTCTTAAAAGAATAACCCCTATTATAAAAGAAAAAAACATCATCCCTAATACTCAATTTGGATTCCGATCATATCATTCGACAATCCACCAAATACATAGAATTACCGACAAAATATCATCATCATTTGAAAAAAAGAACACTGCCCCGGTGTATTCCTTGATATCGCACAAGCATTTGATCGCGTCTGGCACGACGGATTATTGTTCAAATTAAAATCGTTTCTACCTGCACCGTATTTCCTCATCCTAAAATCTTCTCTTGAAGACCGATATTTCACTGTTAAATTTAACAGTTCCTATTATGTCTACCATAAAATCAAAGCAGGAGTACCCCAAGAAAGTGACCTATCACCTATACTCTACAATATCTACACATCAGATATGCCCAAAACAAACTATACAACTCTAGCGACATATGCAGACGATACCGCTATACTAGCATCAAATAAAGACCCAAACATAGCCACCCACGATATACAATACCACTTAAATCTAATCTCCAATTGGACTCAAAAATGGAAAATTAAAATAAACGAAAACAAATCAGTTCAAATAAATTTTTCTCTGAAAAAAAAACGAATGTCCACAACTTTTGCTCAATAATACACCAATTACTATCCAAAATGTAACCAAATACCTCGGAGTTCATCTAGATAAAAGACTTACTTGGGCCCAACACACAAAACAGAAAAGAAAACAATCAAACACACGTCTACATCTCCTCCGTCCATTATTCTCTCCTTCAATGAATTTAAAAAACAAAAATATTAATATACAAGATGATTATTACCCCCCTCTGGTCATATGGTATCCAAATCTAGGGTCAAGCCAAACCATCCAATATAAGACCCATACAAGCTTTCCAGTCTATATGTCTTGGACAAATAACTGGATCCCAATGGTATATGACCAACGATGCATTACATAAAGATCTCCAAATCCCAACAGTCAACGAAATAGCAATTCGTCATTACAAAAAGTTTCACTCCAAACTGCACTCGAACCAAAACCCTCTAATTTCCCGCATGTCCTCTATAACCATCCCCAACAATCCTCCGAGAAGGTTAAAAAGAAAATGGTCAAGAGACGCTCTTGCCTAACGGTCTCCATATTATATGAACCCATCAAATTAAATAGGAGGTACTGTTGATGGACGGTCTTCCCCCCTCAAGACATTCAAGTCATTTTAATATTACCTATGTTATCAAATTTACTTATTGTACAAATTGTATAGATGGTAAATATGCTTCAAAAATAAAAAAAAAAAAAA